TTATATATATTTCCATATTTTCTCCTGATGTCACATACACACACACACACACACATATATATATACATATATACATGTATATATAAATATTTGTGGAGGAGTTGTTATTATAAAAAGTGGGATTATAATATACACCATTTCTACATCTTGCTTTGTCATGCCATCACATTGAAACCAAGATTCCTATATTCTTTAGATAGAAGACGTCTGGAATACTATAATGAAAATATTAAAAATTATGAAAGTTTGGTTAAATTTCATTGAAGCTATTTAGGTATTAATTGGTTCATATCATCTAGAATGAAGAAGTTAGAGAATTCATTTTAATAAACATTAATTACTATGCCAAGTATATTGCTAAGCCCTGAGGACTCTTGTCTTTGATAAGTACACTTAGAGAACTGTGTTCAGTTTTGTACACCATAGTATAATTCAAAGGATAAACAAGAGCCTGTTCAAAGGAGAGAAACAGGAATATCTAGTGAGGGAACTAACACTTGAACTGGGAGTGAGGTAAGGTTCTAGATCAGAGATGACTATTTTCTTCAAGTATTGAAGGCTCATTATGTGGAAGAAAAATTATACTTGTTTTATTTGAACCAAAGAAGTAGAATGACAATAAAAGGGGAGAAGTTATGGAAAGATGGATTTAAATTGAGAATAAAAAATAACCTTCTAACAGGAAACTTTAGAGATGGGATGGAATCTCTTGGAGTTCAGATAGATATTTGGTTATATACTATATGAAGATTTCAAGCCACAAGTAGGTGGTTCCTTTAAGGTCCCTTTTATCTTGGAATGACATGACTCTAGTATTTATTTAAATTTTTCATTTTCCTTGACAGATATGATATTGTGACCATTGTTTTTAATGGAAAATGATTGAAAGTGAAAATCTAAACCAAGAAGAAATAATTAAAGAACTGGTGAGTCAAAGCCAAATTTTTTTCAACATTGGTGACAATATTAAATAGAACATTTTTATGCTCCTTTCTAAAGCTGGAAGTGTTATCTAGTGATTTCTTTTATCCTGTAACTTTTGAAAACAGAAAAATCACATATGTGGTACAGCTTTCTCTCTTGTGAGGGTACAAAAGTGGCATCATTTCAATTGACAGTTTATAATTTCTAATGGCAAAAGTCTTTTTGTATCATCTAAAATAAGTAATAACCCGATTTCTTTCTCTTAAAATAGTGTTTGTGCAATGGTTTATCTTACGAGATGGTTGTACAAGAAGGATCAAACACTTCAAAACTGGAGATGTTTTTCTCAGGGTATCCTCGTATAGTTGGATTGTCATTATTTCCTAACTTAATAAGTCTTACAATTGTTGCTCAAGATATAAAAGAAATTTCAGGGTTAAAGACTTGTTTACAACTTAAAGAACTTTGGATTGCTGAGTGCTGCATAGAGGTAAATCTAAACATATAACCTTATGTGGAGTATTTTATCCTGAAATCTTTGGTTTTGGAAAAATAATTTATTGAAATATATGTATAAGGTGTGGGTCAAAACATAAATGGACAAAAGATAGAAATTGATTTGTACAAAAGAAAGTCTAGAAATAAGGAATTAAAAACATATTCTACTTTTTGGTAAGCAAATCAAATCATAGCCAGTATTACTTAATAGTAACATTGACTTACTTAGACACGATCAGTTGTTCAAATTATAGAATCTACTTTGAAAAACAATATTGCAAAATGTATCAAGAGCCATACAAATGTATAGTACATACTTTTTTTTTTTTGGAGACAGAGTCTCACTCTGTTGCCCGGGCTAGAGTGCCGTGCGTCAGCCTAGCTCACAGCAACCTCAAACTCCTGGGCTCAAGTGATCCTCCTGCCTCAGCTTCCCAAGTTGCTGGGACTACAGGCACGTGCCACCATGCCCAGCCAATTTTTTCTATATATTTTTAGCTGTCAATTAATTT